CACAATTGGTTTGCTGGGTGGCAGGTGGGCATAGTGTAGGAGGGCTTCTGCAGGCCATACCTGGATGATGCTTGAAGGTTAGGAGCATCAGGATGATACTGGACCTTTCAGGGAAACCCAGGGGATTTGGGGAACCATCAAGGGTGGACTTTGCAACTACTCATGAGGCCCCAGCTCCACCTCCCAGTTTTTCTTGGACCAGAGCTGTAACCATAGGCCCTTTTTCCTCTGAACACTCAGGGGATTCCCATTCCTTTGGTCAAACAGGTATCATTCACATAAAATTATTTTTCTCCCTTCTTCCATTCCTGGGGGGCAGACCCTTCCTTTCCTATCTGGCATTTGAAGGCAACCCTTGATTAATACTGTTGTCTGACTTTGAGATAATCATAATAACTAGCATTTATTGAGTACATTTTATATGCCAGTAACTATGCTAAGCATCATCCCATTGATCCTGACACCAACTCTCTTGTTAGTATTCCCATTGTACAGATGAGGACACTGAGGCTCAGAGAAATTAGGTCATTCAGCCCAGGGCCACACAGCTAGTAAGTAAAGAGGCAGGAATTTGAACCCAGGCAATCTGACACTAGAGGCTGAACTCAAAATATTACCCTACAGGTGGGTCAGACTCCATCAAAAAAAAGTACAGTTTTCTAAAAAAATTATATCGCCTGTTGCTCAGCCTAGAAATCTCTGGTAAATCCCATTGTCATGTGAATGATCACCCCCTAAGTTATCTGAATAGAAAGGAAAGGCTGGCTCTTGCAGGAAACCTCATGCATATCTCACATGGTACCCCGTTCACTGAAAACTTAGACTAATAACAAAACTAACTGCTTATGAGGCAACAGGGATGTTTTAGAACAGAGAATCAGCGTTGCTTTACAATAGAATCTCCAACCCCAAAGAGCATTAGACATGACAAGGGAGGCCATAAGCCTTGTTTGTGGAAAATATTTTAAGTCAATGGGATAAGAGCAGGCCCTTTGAGAGGATGAGGTGGGCTTAGATGACCTGATTATCTTGGGAATCAATAGCAAGGAAGATCAGGAGTCAAGAAGCCAGCCTAGATTCTAAAAGGGTGCCCTAGGCATGGGCTGGTGCAGCCCTGCCTTTGTGTGACATACCGTGACATTAGTGATGAGTGGCTGGGAGGCGTAGGTCAGCACAGAAGAGGGCCCCACAACTGTGTAGCTGGGGCACACTGGCTGCACATACATGTCAGCCGAGTAAGGGCAGCTGACAGCTTCATGTGACACATACTCGGTGTAGGGCGTCCATGGGGTCAGGGGCTGGAGGGTGGTGGGGGCTGGCTGAGAGAGCCAGCCGGCACACAGGGCCCCCTCTTCCGTCACTGTGGAGGCAGAGACCTCCATGTCAAGACAGGAAGGACCTGTGGGAAGAAGGAAATTACAGAGCTGCAGGTGCCACTGAGATGAGGGGCCTGGACAAGGCCAGGGCTGTGGGGAGCTCTTACCCACTGTGGTGTAGGTGGCCAGGGGCTGATGGGGGAGCACCACCTGGAGGGGAGAAGAGAAGACAAGGATCAGTGTTCAGCCATCTCCAACGAGCCCTCTGCAGGAAACTTGCCCAGAAGACCCCAGGGCAGGGGAGTATAAGGGGAGCAACTGCCTTGTAAGAACAAAACACCCGCCTCCATCCCAACCATTACCACCTACACTTTTGAGGGATCCCTTTTTCTATTGAGCAAGAAGCCTAAGCACTTAGGCAACTGGCCCCGTCCTCTTCCCAGTGGGAGCTCCCAACTCACACCAGGATGTGTGTGTCATTCACTCACTCAGGCCCTGGCAATACCTTTGTTCAGTGGGCCAAGGCAGCCAGCCTACATCCCTCACCCTACTTCAAGGAACCACCCACGTTTTCTACCCTCAGTCCATTCTTCAGCAGCCATAACCACAGCAATGTGTTGCCTTTATGCCCCCAGTGAGCATCCCATGGGACAAGGTAGCACACTCTTCCCTGACACTCCCCCCACCCCCCACCCCGCCCCCACACACTCTGGCCACAGAGGGCCCCCTCACCGCAGTAGGTGTAACTGTCGCCCCGCTGCTGGCATGGCCACGTTTCCTCCTCAGCAGTTCCTTCACTGGCTCCTTCACACGAACACCCTGGTATGGCCGGGGTGGGGCAGGAGCTTGCTCTGGAGCTGTGGCTGTGAAAAGCAGTGTCACTGGTGCTCATCTCCCTTCTCAGACAAGTCCCCACCTCAAAGCGTCTGGTCTCCTCAAGGACCTGCTCACCCAAGTTGCATCTGAGCTCAGAGGATCACATGAAACTTGCTAGAATATGTCTCCCAGTATTGCCATTGCTCCTGCCCCCAACCTTCTACGGCTCCCCTCCACCCAGACAATTAGGGCCCAGTTCCTTAGTCTAGAATGGAAAGTACTCCAGAGAGTGAGCTCAACCCATTTTTCCAGTCACTTTGCACACTAACTACTACATAAACCCTGACTCCAGCCGGAAGGTCTATCTAGACTTCGCTACATGTTCCTTGCCTGTCTCACCTCTTCATCTATACTTGAGATTTCCCATGTTCAGAATTCCCTCTCACTTTTCTCAACCCCTTGATTCTTCCTGACACAAGACTAGTGCAACCCTTCTGGCTAACCACTGCAGCCCACAGAATTTGTTTCATCCTACTGCCTCTCAAACACTTCCAGACCTGGCTAGTATGCATCACAGGGGGCAGTAGAGGATGACAGAGCAGGAACTCTGAGTCAGGTGGCATAGGCCTCCAAACCTTCCTCTGCCACCTTCTAGCTGTGTGATCCTGGGCAAGTTATTACACCTCTCTTTGCCTCTTAACCTGCAATTTTAGGAATTGGATTTGTTTAATTTTAGGAGTTATAAGGACTCACTGACATAGTAAATGGGAAGTATAGTATATGCTTAATATTAAATCAGATATAGAGTAAGCATTCAATAAATTTTTAGTCTGTGTAATAATTAGTTATCCTTTTTGGTATAAATTTCTTATGCCCCTAACTAGATGACAAACTTCTCAATGCCAAGTATTGCACTTCATTTCTCTATATCTTCCAAGTGGCATGTTCATAATAAGCTTAATAAGCTACTTGTTGAATAATTGATTGCATGATTATTCAGAATGTGCTGCCTGCCATTCATCTTCCCTCCACCTCTCCTGGACCTCTAGAATGGGCTGAGTCAAACGGTTCCCAGGTTCTCCATGGCTCCCAGGACACAGGACAAATAGCCAGTGATGATCCATGTGCTCTGAGGTCAGCGGGTGTCCAGCCTTGCTGCTGAGAGGTTCCCTCTGCCTTTTGTCATCAAAGCCAGGAAACCAAGACATAGAGCTGGAACATAGGGCTTCTCCTGGCCTGGCAGAGCAAGCCAAAAGTAGCCATCGCCCAGACAGCCCACAGCACAGGTTGTCATGAAGCACTGGCCCTTAAGGCTCACACAGGGAGTTCATTATCATCCACTGATAAGGGACCCAGGCACTCGGCTCTGAATCAAAAGTCCGGAAGCCTGGGTATCTATTAAACCCGGATGTGTAGTGCTGCCCTAGCTGAACTTTGCTCAGTAAATACCCCGCTGATAAGATCCCACGCCTGACTCAGCACCAGAACTCCATCTGTGCGCCAGGCACGCACATGGCCCGGCCTCGAAGCTCAGCAGGCAGAGAAGGCAGCAGGAAGTGGGAAGGGGTGTCCAAGAGCACAGGAAAACACGATGTGGTGTCAGAGAACCCCAAACTCAGGTGCATCCATGGGGGCTTTCTAACCTGGGCGCATAGCTTTTCAAAATACAGATATCCCAGGGCCTGCTCCCCGCGAGTCTGATTCTGGTGGTCTGATGTGGACCCAGGAATCACAGGATTTTATAAAAATCCCTCAGGTGATTTGGAAGCTGTGCTAGGATGAGACCCACTGATAATTCATCCCTGACCAAGAACTTCCTTCAACATCCTGATAGGAGATTAACTATCCTCTTAGCTTCCCCTGTCATAACAAGGGATCTCTATTGGTATTCATTCATTCTTTCAGATATCCCAAGGCACTAGGAATATAGCACTGAACAGGACAGGTGTGACCCTTGTCCACGTGCATCTTGCAGTCTAGTGGGAGAGACAAGCAATAAAACATTTACAACTTGTGAATTCAGGCTGAAATGGGAGTGAATAGCAGAGGAAGCCAGCCTATTACCTGTGCCCCAGGACGACCTGTGGACCTAAGCTGAAGTGACAGTGGACTGGAGAGCCAAAAACACCTGTATTCAAGTCTGAGATGATTTATTTAATATCCCTGGGCCTCAATTTCTTCATCTGTGAAATGGGAATAAGAATTCCTGTCTCATACAGTAGTTGTGAGGCTTAACTGAAATAATATATGGGAAGCTCCCAAAGGCATGTCCAGCCTACAGTAGATATTCAGTGCATGTTATTTTCCTTCCCCTCCTTCCACCTTCCTCTGGAAAGCTGTAATATCAGAAAGCTCTTCCTCCTCCTAGACCTGCCTCCTGGTAATGACTTTTCCTTGCATCACCTTCTAATGAAACTCATACTTCATAATCCATTCAAATCCATTTTCTCATCTATAAAAAGAGGATCATAATGATATGTATTTTATAGGGTAATTTGAGAGTTACATGCAAATGTTTAAGACAGAGCTTGCACCAAGTAAGCATCGCATCCATGTGAGCTAATATATTCAGTACTAGTACTTTCCAGCATCTGAAGACAAATACCAGGTCCCCTGTAGAGTTGGAACAAATGTCCCTTTCCTTCAGCTCTTTCTTGCTGACATGTTTTGAATTCCTCCAACCCTCCTTCTGGGCACATCACTCCCGCACAAGTTCTACTTGCCACTTCCCCTTCTGATGAGTGATGCCCAGTGCTGACCACAGACCCCTGGGGTAGCCTGACATGACAGCGAACAGGGCACCTGCCCTCCCACACTCTGCTTACTCATTCTCATGGTCACCACGGCCACATCAGCTTTGTTCATACCCGTATCACTCAACCTACGCTTGTCTCCAATTCGGTTTCCAGCTATTCTTAAATACACAGTGCAGCCTGAGGCGTTGTGCACTTAGGAGAAACTTGGGGCACAGAGTTATTTGGGGATCTGAGCACTGTAGCCACACTCTTAATTCAGTTGGGGACAAGAAAGCCTCAATCTCACATGCACACATCTCAGATCACATCAAAGGCATGTATATGGCTAATCCCCCTCTGATTTGCATGTACATTTCTGGGGAAGGACTGAACACCCCTGATCCCACTCCCTCCCAGGAAGTAGACACATCCAACCCTTGGCTGCAGAGTGGCCAGCTGGGCATTTTCAAGATCTCGTCAAGCAAAGGCTTCCTGCCTCCTGTTGTTTTTGAATCAATGAACAAAGAGGGCTTGGGGGAGGTGCTATGAGCAGAGGGCATCACCCTCTGATGTCTGGACTTCCTTGGAACCTACAGTGTCAACAGGTATGCATGCCCTGGAACAACCACCATATGGAAAGCAGTGCCTATTGCAGTCACAAAGCTCCCACAACCCTCAAGGAGCTCCTGACTACCTACCCATAAGTCCACCACCAGCTGCAAAAGAATCCTGTAACTGACTCCAGGTGAGTAGGCAAGAGTGAGGGTGCTTCTAATAGTATCTTTGCAAAGTGACTGTGAACTATCAGAATCTAAAGCCTGAAGACAATTCCCACAGGAGCCCAACGGGCCAACTGTACTTGCAAGGCAAAAACTTGCAGTTGGTGTCTTTCACACCAACCTTTGTGAAGCAACAATAAACACTTCTAATTCCACAGTAAACACAGTACTCCCTACTGCCACCTGCATGAGAAATGAGCCCAAAAGTACACATTTGGAAAAGGAAAAGAAGTTTGTCTGAAATCATGATTGCTTTGCCTTGGGGGCTTCTGGATCCTTGCATTGAGCTAGCTTTAAAAGAACTGAACGAGAATATTTAAAAGAAAAAAAATAAGATTATTAAAATAATTTCTTAAAATAATAATAAATAAAAGAAGAGCCAAAGAAAATAAAACAGGAGATTAAAATAATAACACACAGAAGATGAAAGTCCAGTTATCTGGAGTAGAGCTGACCAGAGATTCCAATAGCTTCCTAATCAAATTTCAGCTGCAGGTAGCACACCCTCAAAGCCTGAAGCATTCTCACCATTTCTCCTGTGTTCTGAAGGCCCTTTAAGTCTCCTGTGGGCATCCAAGTATCCGTCACTGAGAAAAATCTTTTCACCTAAACACGAGTCTCTTGGCCCTCATTGGTAATCTCCTTTTTCAGGCTGAGAAATTCAACCACATTGCCTTTCCACCAGTAGAAATCAGTTACCAGTGGAGTTTGAGAACAAAACTCATTTACAGAAAAACCTATGAATTCGGCCCCAGTGAGGGCTTCCTTTTTCCAAAAAGAGCAACGAAAAAATCTGAAGGTATAAAAAGTCAGCAGAGGACATTTCGGTTCCTCCTGCCACATACCCAGACATGGTCCACATCACAAAAATAAGAGTCCTACAGCTGCTGTTCCGCTGGAGAGCACAGACCATGACAGCTCTAAGCTGACTGGTCACCTCAGACAGAGCTCTGGCTGCATGTGGGCATTGTGCTTGCTTTGCACCAAGCTTAGGGAACATGTGGATTCTACTGATTTAAATAAACATGGCCCTCCAGTGCCTTCATGAAGGTATAATAAATATCACTGAGGAAATATGCAAACTTGTCAGCACTTGTTTATTTAATGACCCCATGCAAACCACATTCATGCCAAAGTGAGGAAGCTACTCAGCTAAGGAGGTAAGTCCTCCTAATGTCTTCTAGAGGACCCAACACCCAGGCATGGATCGCTACAACTTCTCTTCTGGGTGGCTTTAAGACAGGTGTTCCTAGGACAGCCTTCAAGATGCTCGTGAAAGAAGACTCTCCTCTCAGCCATTGTCCTGTTACAAATTCCCCAAAGCCACCAGAGCCAGGCAGTAAGTTGGGCACCAGTTGGGACTGCTGCTCTAAAGGCTAAGTAGGATTCAGGTAAGCCCACATTTTCATTACCAGGGAACCAGGAAGAGGAACCCATCCCACCCATCTTGACAATCTAGCTCTCTGGAAACGCTTTCCATTTACAACTGACTGGGTGAACCTCAAAGCTGCAGTCACACAAGGCCATTTTGAA